GCAGATGGCGACGGCAGCCATGAAATTAAAAGACGCTTACTCCTTGGAACAAAAGTTATGACCAAACTAGACAGCATATTTAAAAGCAGAGAAATTACTTTGCCAACAAAGATCCGTCTAGTCAAGGCTATGGTTTTTCCAGTGGTCATGTATGGATGTGAGAGTTGGACTATAAAGAAAGTTGAGCACCAAAGAATTGATGCTTTTGAACCATTGTGTTGGAGAAGACTCTCGAGAGTCCCTTGGAGTGCAAGGAGATCCAACCAGTCCATCCTAAAGGAAATCAGTCCTGAATATTCATTGGAAGGACTGATGTTAAAGCCGAAACTCCAATACTTTGACCACATGTTGTGAAGAGCTGACTTATTTGAAAAGACCCTGATGCAGGGAAAGATTGAAGGCAGGAGAAGAAGGGGATGACAGAGGATGAGATGGTTGAATGGCATCACTGACTAAATGCGCGTGAGTTTGAGTAAGCTCCACGATTTGGTGATGGACAGGGAGGCCTGGCGTGCTGCAGTCCATGGGGTCACAAAGAGTTGGACACAACTGAGCGACTGAACTGTACTGAACATTCAAAGCCTCTACTCTTCATGTTCTGTGAATATTAAACAATAAACATACATGGATTTCAATCTGATACATAATAGACTAAAACAGAACTTGTAGTAATTTGATATAATCTTACAGACATTTAGCTATTAGGGATTTAATGTAGAATTACTAGTGTGTAAACATCATATGTCCTTTTCCTCTCTCCTCAAAGTTATTGCACTAATATTTACAGTAGTCCAAGACAATCAACCAGAGAAAATCTAAATTCAATACTTTAGCAGACTCTGTCTTGGAGGCTTGCATTTAAAGCAAATAACCATGTCATATTGGAACTGTCCTCACCTATGTAATTTTCTTTTCCTCAATTGTTTTCTTCTTTTCTTTCAATGCCAAGTCTTATTGCTCTATAGTGTTTGGGAGTTTAAATTTGTGCTGCTTCAATTAACCACAGCCTAAGATTCATATGGGTTTAAGTTAATAAAAATTCAAGGATTGGCCATTTTTTTCTGTAAAGAGCAGATTGGTAAATATTTTTTTAACTCTGCCTCCATATGTGAAAGTAATCATGGACATTATGTAAATTGGTGTGTGTCTACATTCCAAAAAGTTTATTTATGGATACCAAAATTTGAATTCCATATGATATTCATGTGTTATTAAAGAGTTTTCTTCCTATGAGTTTTTCCAACCATTTAAAAATGTAAAGTCATTCCTAATTCATAGTCCATTACAAAAATTGGCAGCAGGGTAGATTTACTCAAGTTCAGCAGCTTGTAGACCCTATTCTAGTGCTTGAACTAGTATCTACATTTTCAAAAATAAATTTATGGGAAAATCATTGTGGTTCTTGTAATTATTAGTAAAGGAAAACAATTAAAAAAAATATATATATATATATGTAACACTAAGAGCTGTGTTTTTGCTTCTCTTCTGTTCAATAAATTCTTATTGCTGTTTTCATTTAGGTTGAATTTTAAGTTTAATTCTTATCATTACTATCAAAAAATGTAACTAGCACATTCCCATATAGGGATGATACCTATTTTTTCTTGTTTTATCATTTTTTTTCCAATACAGGTAAATCTTTTTTGGTATTTAACATTTCACTTTTCATTAGCCTTTATATTTAGAATCTTTTCAGGCAACCAAACTGTAGGCTATATTCTAATTATCCACTTGGCCCCACACTATTTGATGTGACATAAGAGTTAAACATTTTCTTTGGGGAAAATAAAAATTTCCTCTAAAATAATTTTAATTAATATGTATAATGAGAGTTTTCTAAACACTGCTTCAAATGAGTGAGGCAATAAGAATGCTAAGTTCTCGGTAATAACTATTACCAGAAAAGATTGTAAGTTGAATTGATACTGTGATTAACAAATTAACAAATTATCTAGTAGTTAAAAGTCACTCAGGATTTGAAAAAGTTCTCTTCTCAGTTCTTGGACTAATAACAATGCAGCATTCACTGACATTCTCTCAAGAAAGGATGTTTTATTAGTTCATCTAGGTCTCCTATGATATTTGTTATTTTTCTCTGGTAAGGATACTTCTGAAAATTACATAAGGAATATAAGCCCATCTTTGTCTGGGGCTTCCTAGGTGGTGCTAGTGGTAAAGAACTCACCTACCAATGCAGGAGACAGAAGAGATGGGGATTCCATTCCTCTTTGTTTACAGAGCCACTATTATGTAAAAAAAATACTATTTGCATATTACTCAACTTTTTAGGTAAGTAATAACGAGAACTTTATAAAATGCATAATACCTTAAAACCATCACTGCATCATACAGGGTATTTCCATAGTCGTAAAAACTCCCCATTCTCTATTCATCCCCTGCTCCCACCGACTAGCCACCACTGATATTTTTAGCAGTGATCTTCAACATCTTAGCACCAGGGACCAGCTCTGTGGAAGACAATTTTTCCACGGATGGGATTGGGGATAGTCTGGGGATGATTCAAGCACATTACATTCATTCTGTACTTTATGTTTATTATTATTACATTGTGATATGTAATGAAGTAAATATACAGCTCTCTATAATGCAGAATAGGAGGGAGCCCCCAGTTTGTATTCCTGAGATCAGGCAGTAACGTGAGTGATGGGGAGTGACTGTAAATACAGATGAAGCCTTGTTATCTTGCCACCACTCACCTCCTGTGTGGTCAGGCTCCTAACAGGTCATGTACTGGTTCCCGTCTATGGCTTGGACGGTTGTGAACTGCTGTTTTTAGGATCTCCATAGTTTTGACTTTTTCTTGTGTGTCCTACACTTGAAACCACATGGTGCGAAACCTTTTCAAACTAGCTTTTTTAACTTAGCAGTATGCACTTGAGTTTCTTTTCATGGCTTGATAACTCATTTCTTTTTAGCTCTTAGTAATATTCCTTTGTATGGTAGTGAGAATTCAGCTAAGCTACTCCTTAGTACGACTGCCTCAGCATCCATTTTCTTTGACCAAGTGGACTGCAGGGACCTTAAATTGACACTAGCCCCTTCATGTTAGTGCATACCAGAATAATGAACAAATATATGTTCCTGGTATGATTTCCTCAACAGCCCTTATGTTCAACAGTCTTCCTAGATAAGATTCCTGGGAGGCTTACCAAAATCCTACTCCTTGGTTTGAATCGACCAATCCAACCTTAGCTTGGAAATCCCAAGGTACTCATCCATGGATCCTAATAAGGCATTTGCCTCAGGTCCTGCCTTGCCCTATCTGTCTGTACTCCATCTTAACCTTCCTGTCTGGTCTCTGGAGGCATGCCAAGTATCAATACTTCCTCCAGGTCCTATAATTAATAAACTTCTTTATTTCATTTTTTCATATGATCTCTTATTGAACCATGGCTTACCCATTTAATAAATGTTAATTTATTTTTTGGAAACATAGTTGACATATAATATTGTATTATTTTTCAGGTGTATATCATAGCAACTTGGTATTTTTATATATTACTCTCCATATAAAGTTATTATAAAATATGGACTATATTTTCTGCATTGTACACCATATGTTTGTTGCACGTTTATTTGTACCTAATAGTTTGGTACCTCTAACCCCTTTCACCTATTTGCTCCTCGCCCAACCCTCTTCCCTCAGGTAACCACTAGGTTGTTTTCTGTTATCTGTGAATCTATTTCTTTTGTGTTTGTTCATTTGTTTTATTTTTTAAGACTCTTAATAAAAGTGAAAAAATGCAGTATTTGCCTTTCTCTGTCTGCTTTATTTCACTAAGTATAATACCCTGCAGGGACATCCATGTTGTCACAAATGGTAAAAAACAGCCATAGCAGATGGATATATACTTTTTTTTTTAATATCTAGTAAACTACTGAAGGGCATCTTGGTTGCTTCCAAGTTTTGGCAACTACGAAAACAACTGCTATAAATGTCCATGTGCAAATTTTTGTGTAGACATCAATGTTCAACTCCTTTGGGTAAAAATCATATGATTGTATGGTAAGAGCATGTTTAGTTTCATTAGAAACCACCAAACTGTATACTAAAATGGGCATTAAATTTTGCATTCCCACAAGCAATGAATAAAAACTGTAACAAGGCCATTTATGTAAAACATGCTCCAGAGACTCCCCTAAACTCACATGTTTTATATTCAGAAAAACAGGATAATAATTATGTTAAATATGGATAATGCAGTATGAGGTGCCTTTTACTTAGTTTAAAAATTAATAGTCTATTCTGTCAATGCATTTAAAGTACTTTGATTTAAAAATACATTATAAAGTAATATGAATGAAAAAGTATATACAGATACACACATATTTAAAAGTATAAACATACCTCCCACACACATATACAGAATCAGAGAATTGTGTACATATATACATACGTGATGTTTATATAACAATAATGTTATTTTCCACTTCCTATTTATTTTTTAATCTACAAAAAACTTCCAATTTTATTACTTCATTTAGTTTTTTATATCCACACTGTATTATCCATTTTTAGGTATAGAAACAATCAGAAAGATCAAGTTAAATCAAGATGACAGAGTTAGTTAAGTGGCAGAAACATAATTTAACCCTTGTGGTCTTCTGAAAACAAATCAGATACTAATTTCCATATCTCGAGGCTCATAACAAAACACAAATATGCACACATACCCACGAACACAAACACAACCATACTTACAAGCGCACACACACAAAATTTGAAATATATCATTTAATACTCTATGTTCATCTCCCTCTTAGTAGATATATTATAGAACTTTAAGTTAACCTAACCTTCTTAAATATTGTACCCATGATTCTAATTACTATAAGTGACTTTTTCTTATAATCTATTTACTATATTACTTAGCTTTTTAAAGTTAGAACTACTTGTGGAATAAGAAAAATGGATTGAGTGATGGTGACTTAAGATGGTCTTGGTTTTGGCCAAGTCAGTCATATAATTAAACAATTACCTTAATAACAGATGTCTCAACTCTGGATGGGGGACTCTGAACTTGTGCTGCTGCCGCCATATTTGCAATGGTGCTAAGATGGTTCATCTGGCTCATTGCCATGGTGACAGATGCTGGAGGTAGACTGACAGGAATTAGAGGGTGGGGCATCATCATAAAAGGGAGCTCCAGTCCTGTAAAAAATACACATGTATCATCATCTCTCTATTCAAATAGAACGATGAAACATAGTATATCTCACTAATTAAAATGGTTAAGAACATAATCATTGAAAATTGAAGCATTTAAAAATGTTCTAAGAATAACAAAGGAAAAATATTTGTCCTCTTGTATGCAATAATGCCCATTTATCACTCAGGGAAATTAAAGTAAAAACTAACCAGTTTGGTGCCATGTTTTATCACTCACCACTCTTCATTGGTTTTTAATATAAACAGTTAATTTTTGCTACATTATTCTGATGTCTAATTCTTGTTTTAAATACTATGGATTTCTTTATCATAATTAACTATCTAAATGTAATATACATTTCAATTATGTCCTATATTTTACTATCTAATCATTACTTTTTTTTTCCTTTACAGCTATTAGTTTTAGTGCTAAAAAATGCCATCGTACCATTTGGCAGAAGGTGGCTCTGCTGAAGATGGTGGAGAGGATGACTAACTGGAAGGCTATGCACTCCAGGTATGCGGGGGTGGGTAACAGAAGCCTGAGATCCCTGGGGTGGGGAAGAGTACAGTGTTTCTTTATCCCAAGAACCATCACTGCTGCCTGTGGGGAATGAATATAAATTATTTGTCTACAGTATTATTCCAAATCTTCTAATGACTAATTTTAAATGATGTTTTAAAAAACATATCACATTTGGAAAATGGCTAAGTGATTTCTTGGGAAATAAGCTCAAGTAGATAAATTTCTCCTAAACCGTATTTTCTTTTTGTTTTTCTATTTCTTGAATGTAGTTTTTGAAAAATGACATTTCTACAATAGGTAGCCTATTTGTGGGGTTTAATACTGTTTGACTAACCAACCTAATATAAAATTGACTCTATTATATACCTAGAGGATTCATTACCTCTTGGGCCTGAATCACAGTGATAGTTATAGAATGCAAAGTTATCCTTGCTTAATGGAATCCTAGTCACCCTTCAGAGTTAAGGTTCCTAACTTAATTCCTCGGCAAGTGCTAAACATGGAATTATTAAATGCCCAACTTGATTAGATAGAATACAGAGAACCCAAAGATCACTTTACAAAAGATAATAATATCAAAGCAATAAATTAAATGTATGCGTATCAACATCTCCTGTTTTCAATTACAGAGAAACAAGTTTATAATTGTGGCAATACCAATGCCGAAGTCAGAACAGTGCATTTGAGGGCATGCATTTTAAAATTGTGACAGTGTTTTGGATCAAGAGAATCTTGAAACACTTAATAGGATACTCCTTGAAAGATTTTTATATGTCATTTTAATGTAGGCATGTTCTCAGATTAAATTATTTTAACATTTATTGCTTAACTGAATCTACTGAATGCACAAGCTACCCACTTGAAAGAAATTTTCTGTAATATCCCTGTTGGTTTATGAGTTTCCATTTCTTAAAAAGGAAAAGAAACCATCTTTTCATATAATATGCTTAGAAACAGCAAAATTGGTAAAACTCCAATTTAAACACTTTAGCTCTATTTAAAGCCTCATTGTAAAATCTCTACGACATAGTTTTTAATGAAGAATACTTAGTTATTGCCGTGATTTTTTCCATTTACTTCATGAAGACAGTTAAGGTTCAATATAAATTCAAACTCATTAGCTCAATACTGTCTGGATCTTAAGAGTAAATTGTTCAGAAGTGGGTAATGAAAACTCAATTCAAATTCTTCAGCAATCAAACAAAGCAATTTTATTAAACAATGAAAAGAATCAATTAAAATGAATATCTTTCTTATCTATATTATTTTACAAGAAACCATTACAGTTTTTGGCTTAAAAAAGAAAAAAGAGGAGGTTTATAGCTTCATACAAAAGTGACTCACATAAGAGAAATTTCTCCAACTTGCTACTACGTTATGATATAAAAATTCACCTCTATTTTCACAAATTTATACAGCTTATTTCTCTACTCATGACATTTTCAATACTGTATAACAAGGTCCTAGTCAAATATGGAGAAGTTATAAGTATATAAATTTTGAACATATTACGTCAATAAAATATTCAGTGATAAAACATCTGAAACATTTTCACTTTATATTGCCATATCAAAGTATGTACAAAAGTCTTCATTACTTATTTACTTTTTATGTTATCAGTTAAAATAAGATTTAAAGCATAAATACCAACTATTTGGATATAGAAATAACCCTTTGGAATAAATGTTATTTGAATATGAAAATTGCATTGGAAATTTATATATAATAAATTATTTTTTCTCTCTATTTCATTTAAAATACCCAAGGACAAAAATGAAAAAAAATATCCAAGGACTACATTTTCACATTAGATCACATTTTTGAGGTTAATTAACTAATAAATGAAAGAGGGAAAATTTTTAACATTCATTATTTTGGACTGAATTTGAGTTCTGCTTACACCTATTACCTATTTCTCTGTTCAGTTGAGCCAAATTCTTTTATGTACATCTTAATTAGTAGTTAATATGTGGGAAAAAGACATTTTCCAAAGATACTTCAGTTTCCCTCTCAAATCAGTAGAGAAGCACTTATAATTCTATTTTTTCACATTATCAAGGTATAAAACATAAAGTTAAAATTTTGATTAAATCATCCTGATGAGAGATTATAGACAAAATGCTACCTATTTCCACATCTCTTCTGGATCATGAGATATCAGTCCTTGTGTAAGGGTAACTATCAATCGTCCATATGAGAATTTTCCATAGATTCGATTTTCTCACTACACAAAATGCTCCTAGCCATCTCCGCCAATCATCATTTGTTAAATACTCATGATGTTAACTCATTTGGGTAATAAATAGAGCAAACAATTAAGAAACTAAGTCTGATGAAAAATATACAATATATAACCAAGTCAGCTGTAAGTGATTTTTGCATAATTTATAACATCCTGCTCCTCTATTAGCATGAATAAATAAGAATTGAAAATAGGCCATTTCAGAACAAGACGTGCCCATAGTTATTAAAGGTATAATTTTCAACTGCTTTGCTTTAAATCAATATATTTAATGATATAAGCCAGTATCTACATATGAGCCTACACACAATCATGCATATGCATATATACCTTTGAGATTAAAGTTTATTATTAAGTCTGAATGAAAACTTACAGGAGACAGATTTCCTATAAAAGAAAAGTCCCAACATGGTGAAGGTGAAAGTCACTCAATCGAGTCCCACTCTTTGCGATCCCCTGGACTATACAGTCTATGGAACTCTCCAGGCCAGAATACTGGAGGGGGTAGCCTTTCCCTTCTCCAGTGGATCTTCCCAACCCAGGAATCAAACCCAGGTCTCCCACATTGCGGGTGGATTCTTTACCAGCTGAGCCATAAAAGAAGCCCAACATGTGGTAATGGGAGTTGGAGAGACACAGAAAACAACTGATCTCTCCTCTTTCATTCTAGTGGAATCCCACCATTTCTTTGATTTTACACTGGAGTACAAATAAACCTTGATCTAGTCCTAGTAGCCTCAAAGAACATATACTATAATATGGAGCAGAGGAAAGTGTGCAGAAACTCAGACATTTGATAAATATATAAAATGATTCCAAACCAAGAAAAATGGTCATGAGCTTGTGAAAAGGCTCAGCACATCTTCTGTTTGATTATTTAGACCTCATATGGATATTTTAATGTGTTGGGGGGGGGGTAGAAAAAAAGGGAGAGACAATCTCCCATACCTAATCCTAAACAGAGATTGTGGAGAAGCAGTGGGAGAACCTCAAGCTAGACACTTGCTTACACAGGTGGAAATAAATCTGTGCTCTGACTAACAGCAGAACACACAGGCAGCTATTATATGATGAAATTAAGTAGTGTAACTACAAGCATCAGGCAGGCCAGCTCCTAATGTGTGTGCTTTGGTGTGGTTTGGTGGATAAAGAATTAGCAAATGTATTATTTTACCACAACCAGATTAGGTGGGCATATGAATGCAAGAGGAAAAAGTGAAATTAACACCTGTCTAGCTAAAAGCTATTTATTATGTATTTATATAATCTGAAACAATTTACTTACTCTGCTTAATTATATTGATAGCAAGAATATATCTATTATTACATATATGCAAACATATGGAACTTATATACAAACAGTGATTGTGTGTGTTTAGCTTTCTTTCCTGTAAAAGCTGTGTATTTATCACGGATAAATAAGATGATTTTAAGGTTTTATTGTTGTTTAGTTGCTAAGTTGTGTCCTTTCTGTGACTCCATGGACTGTAGCCTCACCAGACTCCTCTGTCCATGGAAATCCTTCAGGCAAGAATATCGGAGTGTGTTGCCATTACATCTTCTCCAGATCTTCCCTACACAGGAATTGAACCTGCATCTCCTGCATTGACAAGCAGATTCTTTACCACCAAGCCACGTGGGAACAGTGATTTTGCAGTTCAGTGTTACTGAAATTCAAGTTCATAAGGAACACCTATGGGAGAGTCCCTGCTTACATCTCCACCCCAACTTTAAAACTTAGTTATATTTTCTGAGAACGTAAATAGTTGGATGGACTATCTTAGTCTTTTTGTAACTCAGATGCTTTTTTTCCTATGCTTCCATTTTATATTTCTAAGATATTATATGATATATATTTTATGATGGATCTGGTAAACAGAGAAATAGACTACTTTGGGAAGAAACCCATAAATTTGAAGCTATCTCTACTCTAAAGATAACCAGATTATCAAACAGAACTGATAGATAGCAAATATAAACTTTTCACTCCAATTATGGCCTTCAAATATGCTCTGTCAAGACCCCCTCTTCTACTCCTTAATAACCTTGAACAGATTTTGAGCATACAAAAATCCATTCTATTTTAAACTACTCTCTGCATCCTCCTGTCTGTCACCACCAGCTAGCCCCAGAACCTAGGTAGTTGGAAATCAGAGGGGCTTGGACAGCTTGTCATCCATTCTTCTCCCTTCTCCTGGTAAGAAAATGGAGGTGTCTTCTCCCATCCAACTGGCC